ATTAATTGGGTTGCAAGGGTTGTACAAATACACAAGGTTGTAAAAGAAATATATATATATATATATATATATATATATATATATAGCATCGTATTACATAAATACGCACTCAACAATTTTGCATGATTATTTACTTACAGTTGCGCCTATGAATCAAAACAGTCGTGTCGTTTTAAATTAATAAAGAATTTAGACAAGATAAAAAATGACAAGTAAATATATGTCGTGTTTCACGTGTAGATACCAAAGGCAATATTTATGCATGTGCCCACATCAAATACTTGCGTAAATCAATATAAATCCTGTGCCATGGGTTTTGTGCAACCTCACAAATCACAATCACAACTTCAATTTCAAAATACAGTAAAATTTATCATATTCTGTTTATTATTGGAACTCTAATGATGTTGGTTGAGAAATTCTATTTTTTCAATATTCAATCATTCTTCCATATTTTTAATATCTAAACAACTTTTAGTTTAAATTATGGGACTAATGAAAAAACTGTATTTAATTACTTTTATATCAGTTAAAAGAAAAGTATATCTGGTTTTTTCGTTGACAGAAGTATTATTGAAGTTAAACCATAGAATCAAACGTGTCTATGAACATTAAAACCTATAAATTTAGCCATGAAGTTTTAAATCGTTAACAATTGATCTGTGGGTCGTTCGATTTCTATTAACTTTATTAGAATGCTTATCTTTTATTTTTTATAAAATCATATTTTAAATGTGACGTTATTTTTATGTTTATGCTCTTTTTTTGTCTTTTACCTTTCTTGTATTATACTTCTTTGTATGTTTCCAAGAAAATGTACAAGAAAGCCAATTAATGATAGATGGGGTTTTAAAACGTGTTAATATAATTTAGTGTTTGATAATAAAAAAGGGGGGGGGGGGGAAGAGGAGGAACTGTTAAATGGAATAAGAGGGAAAAACTGTATATGATGACCGAATCAACACTGATTCACAAGCCAAGTGTAAAATTATAGATTTTTATCTAACAACCCATGTCTCTAATTCGAACCAAGGCTCTTACAATGTGTTCTCGAAAGCTTTTTTTACGAAGAAAATGAAAGGAAAGGGAGGGAAACGGAAGGAAGGTAAAAGACTAGAGTTCTTGAAACTTTTTTGGAAACAGAAGGAATATAATGATAAGTTTCCTCTCAAAACTTTCCATCAAAAAATATAAGATGAAATGGAAGGAAATGAAAGGAAATGATATTATAACCACTTGAAAAGATTATTAAATTTACAAAACTACCCAATTAAAAGGGTATATTTGTAAAAATGACATATTTTCTTTCTTTTCTCTCCGGTTCAAAAACATGAAAAATTATTTCCTTTTTTTCTTTTTCGAGAATATAAATAAAAAAATTATTTTTTTCCTTTTTTTATATCCATTTCTTTTATTTTCTTTTTTCTCCCATAGTTTGAAAATACAACGTTAAAGCAATGCTTATTAAGATCTCCTTAATCAACCTTCAAGCATGAGTCCTGAAATTGTTAAAGATTACTAGAAGCGTACTTGTACAATGCAGCGAGATACATCGTGATTTTAATATTTCATTTTATTCTTTATCTCAGTCGATGTTATAATATAGCTTTACATGATTTTGAGAAAACGATGATGTTTTTGTTTTTGAATAAAATATATGTTTGAAGATATCATAAAATTTTGACAAAAATATATCGATATTAGTATCAAATTAACTATTTGAAATTCCTCA